GGGGAAAAGGGCAGCGCTCCCACCCGCCGCGGGCTGGAGGCGGCCCGCAGCCTGCGCCGCTGAGGGCATCCTCTATCCTTTAGGCTTTGTCCCTCCTGCTTTAGGCTGGGCTTCAAAGACCCGCTTACCAGGTGCTCTTTAATGGATTTTTAACCGTGAAAAATAACAAGAAAAGGAAAAGGGATAAAAGGATTCTGACAAAGACTCTTGTAATCTAGCTCATGGCTTGCTCTAAAATTAAGGGTAACAAAGAGGGCAACCACCTCAGAAACCATAAAAAATTAATTGCAGAGTACAGGTACTTGTTAACATTGCGGGACAATATGAGATCTCCTGCGAATGCCTGCAGGAACTCCAGTAAAGATGGCTGAATACAAGAGGCTTTCCAAAACACACGCTGCACCACATACAAATACACTGTCAAAGAGGATGCTTTCAGCCAAGCGTTTCTGGCAACCCCCAGCTCAAGCAATGCGGTGCATTATTATCTGTCAGTGTCCTGCTGCACAAGTTCATTGTGCTGTCTGCACGGGATGGGCATTTTTGCCTCAATTACAGAAATGCAGATATTTATGTCTGAGCAGCCTTACAATACTTTAAGCTATTTGTTTTTAAAATACATAATTTCTGAGACACGCTAATATAAACCATCAATAAAAACTATAAAGAATTTCCAAAAATAGGGCAATGAGGCTAATAAAATATACATGAAGCAGAACATTTTCTAAAAGATGACTTTCTTACAAAAAAACCTCAATTTGTCAGAACATCAGCTCTACAGCCAAACTAAGAGCAAATGACAAGTGATGCTGTCAGACTGTAACGATCTTAAAAGTAAGACATTTTCCCTAACCTTTATCGTCTCTCCGTAATCTTGCTTAGTCTTTAGTTTTCTCAGATTTTCTCACAGGGAACAAAACCGATGCTTCGATATAAAATGTAAAATGGGATGTAGGCATATGTTACCTTGTAAACGTAAACACTGTCACTCTTGCAGTATTCCATGGCACGAAGCGTGTGCATTTCCCCTTGGCAAAGGAAGCATTGCCACCTAACAAGTACCCTTCTAGAGGATTTTCATTGCTACTAAGAACGAACTACAAAACGAAACAGAACAGTAAAAGACAAACGGATAGCTTGGAAGCTTATTTTATTATCCTTTGGTACGTATGGTTTCCTGTGGATCAAGACAGTTAAACAAGTTGTTTGAACACTCCCCTTCTCCCCAGTATCGTTTGGTATCATCTTGCCATGTGCTACTGAGCAGACTTTGGATTGATAATAGATAGAAACATATCGTTATAAAGAGTGCTTTTCCTAATGGTAAAATTGTTCTTTTTCTAATACAAAAGATGGTTGAACATTTTAGGCTTCATTTAAAAGAACTGAAATGACCTAATAATGCAAAGAAATGGAATTTCTAGGTTGATGAAATGCTGATTATAATTTAACAGCAGCCATTCAGAAGACATGCTGTAGCAGATTTTTTCCACAAGTTACAAAATATATACACAATATATCATCTTAAGATGCCTTTGGCATTCAAAATGTTAACTGAAATACAGAATCTAAAACTCAAAACTACTGTAGGTAGCTCTTCTACAACACTTTTTACAATGGCTGTAAAGCTAACTGTTCTGACTATATGCATCATATACAATGTGCTTCTCATATACCATTTCCACAACAGTACACGAAAATATTTTAAACAAGAAATCCACATAAATAATGTTTTCTCTGTAGTGAAGTATGTGACCAACGATTTAAAATAAGTACCTTTACAACAGAAACATATCCTGATGTAACCAGCACATACAGTCTGAAAGATAAAAAGGGACTCAAATAATCTCTGGTAAGGCCACAAGCACCTCGTGTTAGGGAGAGCACCAAGGCAACATGGACAGGAAACACGGAAGAGGTAGTGTGCCATCTGTTAAGATGTACGCGTCCACAAAGGACTATAATAAAACAAGGTTTAAGAAAAGAAGACGTATTGTACTGTGGCATAATTCACTTTTCATATATAAGCTATTGCACATTTAGGAGCATTAGCCAGTATTGCTCCTTAGTATTATATGTCTCCAGCTTTCCTCGGGATGGTTTTTTTGCTGTGCTGTTAAAAACATTGCTGAGAACACTAGAGGTCCTGAAAAATTCCATGTTCAGATACTCAGTTCCAGGAAATTACACAAGGAAGCACCAACCAATTTTTTTTTTTTTTTAAATACTTTATGAAAATTGTTGTAGTCTTTTCTTTCTTTCTTTTCTTTTTCAATGACATTTCTCCTGAGGAGGAAGTCTTTTTCTTCCTGAGGTTCTTTAACCAACACTGTTCAAAACGATTCTTCAGTTTCCTACTAATTTTGCCTGCAGTGGATCATTACTTCTGCATTCTATCTATGCAGCAATTCCATGTTGATGCAAAAAAACCCAGGACAGGAACCTTAAAGGAAGCACACTGAACCACTTTCTATGAAGTGCTGCTGTCCTGGCTTGAGATGAGGAAGTGCGTTAACTTGAACAACTGGAAGCTGATTAGTGTCCTGAGTGTGAAAAAAGAACTGTGTCTTATGCCAGCTGCCATCTTCCATCTGCAACACACAGAAGCAGAATATTAGATTCGTATCAAAGATGACCTTCGAAACACAAATGGAAATTGTGCTTAAAGAGTAAGAGGAGGAGGAGAAGTGTACAGAAATATTTCTTCTCCCAGCAGTTCCTAAAGAAACTGTGTAATTTAACAAATTTCATTTCTCCCGTGCAATACCATGGGGACTCCTGGCAAAACTGTAACTGCAAAAAAGCCCAGCCCGCAATCCAGCTGGAGTGGATGCACACACAGTGCAACATGGCTCAGAGGAGAGCGCCTGGCACTTTGCAAGCAGTCCTGGGCTCATATAGACTCACATCTCTTGCTAAATTCACCTCCAAATCTGACCAGTAGGTCTCAGGTTATGAACTCTACAGGCACTTGAATGACTTTGTCCTTGAAGAATAATCATGGGGAACGAGAGCTGTGTTTTTGTCATGAACTTTGTATCGATTATTCTAATCCTTTAAAAATCTCAGTAAAAAATTGATACCTCATAAAAATTATAAAATGACATTATAACATTGTTTGAGGCTGGGAGTGCCTTGATGTTTGCAATCACTCCATTCTTAAAAGCCATCAAGTACAGTGGACACCACTGGAAAGTGAAACCCCTGCAGAGAGGGAAATGTGTGAGATTCTGCAGCAGATCTGTACAATACATAGTTTCCCACAGAAAGAACGACAGACCTCGTAGAATTTCACAGAAAAATGGCACTTCTCAATAGCCAGCACTGTATGCCTTAATTTTTCTCAGGGATTAAAAGTCCCAAACACACTGGGAGGTGGGGAGAAAGGGCTTCAATGGCCATACCTTAGCTGCCTGACACAGGCTAGAGCATCTCATTAGTGTGTGCTAATATAGGTTGGAAGCATAACAGCTTCAAAGTGCCTCAATAAAACCACTTTATGTCTTGAGATTAAAAATCTCACTTGACACCCCTGTATCGATATGGAACCAGTCTCTTGTCTTTCATTATTTTAAATGAAAGTAGAGCTATAAAATACTGAAAGTGTAAAGTGCTTGTCTCCTGTATTTCATAGTGTTCTACCAAGACATGTACCAAATGGCTCACATCTTGGTGAGTGGAGTAATTTCCACTTCGTGAGTGGAGAATTTCTAAGAAGCATTAGAAAATTAATAAGCTCTTCCAATTTTTCCTAAATACAGATACGATTTAATGTTTCAGTTAGCAGTGGAGTCTATTTCCAATCATCATTATTTTATTAAATAACCAAACAATTGACTCATAGTCAATGAATTGAAAGATATTTACTTGTCCAAAAAAGTAATTTCCAGCCTGTTTGAACCTGAGATTTTGTGTTAGATAACCTCAACAGAACTCTTACTGAAGACTGAATTTTCATTTTGAGAGTAGCTGTTCCTAAAGTTACCTGGAGGACCTCCTTACTTCTGTTCTGATCTCTCTCCAGTGTCTTAGTAGAGTCTTCAAATACATGACACTCAATGTGAACAGCAAGTATAGATACTCTGTATTCCTCCAATTGCTTTTACGTTTGGGTAGATGTTGAATTCAATATCAAAAGGTTGGCATATAGAGACATATGCAGAACAATGTAAGAAGTGAGCTTTAAGGGGTGTGAATCTAAATGATTGTTATTTATTTGCAGAAAGTTAATAACGTCTAAACAGTAACTCCATATGGTTTTAATAATGCTAGTGCTAAAAAGTATTTACCATGCATTCATCCATAAGCACCTTCGGTTCAAGTAGCGTATTTGCTTTAAATATTTGACCATTCCATCCTTTGAAGCTAACAGACGTTTTCTGGCCACCTACTTTATTTAATCTCCACATTGGTGTGTTCAGACAATGAACTGTGATGCTATGGGTTGCTTCTGAGCTCAGTAAATGAAGGAAGTTCATCTGCACTTTTCCAACGCCGAACTCCAGCTAAGTTCCAAGAGAAATGCATCATTAGACTTAGAGCTGGACTGTGCTGAATGGCCACAGCAACGCAAAATGACGTGCGCGTACATGCGTGGTGTTCAGGCACGGGAGCACATATACATGTTTATACATTGGGATCAATGCCAAAGAGCATGATTTGTATTTTTCAGGAGAGCTGTTAGGTTCTGTTATAGTGATAGAAGCTTTCATAGGACATTTTCAAAGATCAAATATAAACATTTGCTAATGCCTACAACATTGCTGAAACACAGCTGGGCAGAAAACACTTTTTAAATAAGGACACTGAAACAAATGATTTTATGATGCAAAGATAGCAGCAGCTGCTGCTGTTTAGTCTTCTTAGACCACAGGTTCTGGCAATACCTACACCCCATTAAAAATCCAAAAATTTGTAAGCATACTTTGATTTTAGACAGAAAATATAGTTGCTCATTACTCAACAAGAATTTCTCCAGGACTAGATCATATTCAGGGATCTTCCACAAGTAGAAATGCGCATGGGAACTTTATGGTATTTCTGATGCTCTTCAATGACTACAGCGTAAGCAAAACTCCACAAATATAAAATTTCTATTCCCAAGTGTTTACGGACTACATGTAAGAAGGAGCATGGACTAATGATATAAAGGAAACCAGTCTCTGCCTAATGGCATTTAAAAGTAGCTAAGTGTTGAAAAATAGTCATCATTTTCTTCCTTCCCATTGCAATGACCTCAGCATCTCTACACATAGCTGCCCTGAGTGATGAGTTACTAATGTAGTTTAGAAGCATTTCAGGCTTATTTTTATGCCTTGTATAGAAAAGTATAAAGCAAAACAAAATAATTCTATCAGCATGGAAGGTGAGGAAATGAACAAAGTGAGAGTTACACTAACATATATTGTCTCCAGAAAACCTGTAACTTCTGTAACAGAATCTATAACATGTCCTTCCACAAAGATGCCCATTAAAAACCCCCTGAAATCTAACATCTTTTCATGAGTTAAGTAAATACACATTTATTTGTTCAGAGTTCCAGCACAGATACAGTCTTGGTGGAAGCAATGCATACCTTTGTCACAGACAGCGGCGTTAAACATGTCTGACCACCTGCAGTGAAGTTGCAGAAAACTTCAATAGCATCAGAAGGACATCCGATATTTGGGTCAATCCAGTATTTTCCTATTAGTATATAATCCCAGATGGAAAATAAAACCAAAATATAATTGTTACTAAACGATTTCCTAAAATATTCATACTTTTTGGCAAGTGTTAGATATATTATCACCATAGCTTCAGTAGGAAAAGAAAGAAAAGGAACATGAAAGTCTTTTCACAGTTATAATTCTACTGATAACAGATACTGAGCAAAATTATCCTAACCAATTTTGATTACATATACAATGACTCTTGAATACTGTCATAGTTTCAAAAATGTTTTCTTTTTCTACAGCTAAATAGTGAGAACAAATGGTATTTCCAGTCTGCTCTTTCTCTATTAAAACTTAACTTCTTTTTATTTGGGCTTGGCTTTACACAGAGAATATATTCAGGACGTGAAATATCAATCTAAATTCTCTTGCTCTCACAGCATCTTGAAGATCCTTTCTTTCTCCACTTTCTCCCATCAGCCACTTCTACATGACATATCCTAGTGATGGTAACAAGGAGTATTTGCCATTTTGAATCCATGGGATTTGGTCCAATAAAAGAAATAGGACACGTGCAAATTATATCAGGATTTAGCTTTCCTTAATTTATGGTTAAATGTGGGTGAGCCTGTGCTCTACAATGTATATGGCTGTGTGTAATCCTCTGAAGCAGAGGACTGTATTGGTGACCTCCGTGGCCTTAAAGGACTGAGATTTATTTAGGAGAGCACAGTTCTAATAAGGGTTAGGCTCATCTCTACTAGAGTCTTAAAGAATTGATCTGTCCTTATATATGCCACAGAACAGTGATTTCCGTCTAACCTCTAACTTCATTTCCCATTTCCTCCTTAGCTTGTTAATGCTAATACTTGATAATAGGGATATTTACAGGTATTTGTTATTTTATCAGCCACTCAGAAACTGAATTATATCGCAGTATTGACATTACGGGTTTAAATAATAATTTTTGATTTGAAATATTGATTCAGGATCTTCTGGGATACAACAACTGTCGGTGTATCTGACAGTGGTAGTGTATTGTATACAATTTTCTCATTAGGACTCTAGAAACTGACCCACACAAAATTCATTGCAGATTAGCTATAAATATTTGGGAAACTTTTAATCACAAAATGGGATCCAGTTTCAAATTTTCTGGACACTTTTGTTTACTTTAGATTTATAATATGTCTCTAATATCTGTATGATATTAGATAGCTACATACTTTCATCTTTAAAATTCAGAAATTTTATCTTAAATAAAGATAAAATAAAGATAGCTGTGACAGGCACACTGCAACAGAATATAATAAAAAAACCTACACGTTAGAATTTTGATGCAGAAAGTAACATTTGGAAGCAACACATTTCAAAGCCTAGTTGTGTTCGAGCTTTAATGAAAGTGGACACTTACCATCTGCCACTTTCCGTTCACAGTTAAGCAAATCCCTGCAGATGCGTGCTGGGTTATCCCGTGTGCCAAGGGGGTTCTTGATGCTGTGCAGTAAATTGCTAAGGTAGTGCAGCGTTTTGAATATCTCTGTACTGTGATCTAGTAAAGTTACTTCAGTATTCTGGTATTTCTGCCAAGGGCCATTAGCAAATGTGTTACCACAAAGAAGTATCACAACAACAGTATATGCAGTAAAAGTCAAATGGCCATTGAATAACCAGACAGAAGCAATGTATTTATAATGCATGCAATCAGCCATATAGAACAGGGTAAGAATAACATATTCCAATAACCAAATTAGTACATTTTATTAAAATTATCAGCGCAGTGAAGTTACAGGCAGGTTAAGATCATGCAAATACGTCATTATATCATGTCGACATAGAAAGGTGGATACAGGAAAAAAAAGAAAAAAGAAAAAAATTAGTGCATTTTTAAAGTATACTTAGCAGTTTCAGATTTTGAACAGTGAAATCTACTCTTAGACTTAACCTAGAAAATATATGCAAATGTATTTGACTTCACCTGTGTGAGGAATTTTCTTGTAATCAGTGGGACCACACACTTGCACATATGTCAGTATTTTTTGGATCAAAGCCTAAATGCCGCTATCGTCATGTGTGGCTGAACAGATACAGTCCACTGTGTGTGACAGTCAATAAATTTCCATTACTGCCAATCATGCCAAAAAGGTAGAAATGCTGCTGTTTTTCTTAACTTCATTTCAATTGTATGCTATAAATCCTAGCACGTTAATTATATTCTACAGTAATTACTTGCTATCCATGATCCGTTTTAAATTAAGTCTTTGTAAAGAAGCCCTGTTCTGTCCTCAAAAAATAGAATTATAATTGCATACCCTATATGACAATATAAATACATTGAAATATATTACCTCCATCTGCAGTGCAGCATTTGACTCAATCAAAGCTTGAACAGCAGCATTGATGTCCACTTGTTTCTGAAAAAAAGATATTTCAGAATATAAAAAGATGAACAGGAATATTCTAAAATGCAGGTGGTAAATCCTTTGAGCACTGTAGCAACATATGTGATAGCTCCTTAATTTTGTCATTTTAGAAAAGAATTAATTGTAAACACTTACTTTTAAAATGTGATCCTCCCTTCCACTTCCAAAGAATGCAAGCATGCATACAGAAAAAGCATATTTGATATTTATTAGCACCCCCATACCCAATTTAATGATCATACTCCTGGAAACTGGAAAAAAGATACAGTAATAGTTGTTACAGACTAATGTCCCAACTTATTCCTCCCAGCCATTTAATTTATATACTTAAGAAAACCAGTCCAGGTAAGTGTGAAGTGTTATTCCTTTATAGAGAAGCACACAAAGAATGTCTCAATCAGCCATCAGCAGCTGACAGATCAAAATATTCTTAATGATGCATGAACAGATACCAAGACTGACAAACTAGCCTCTGCAGGAGGAAGCCCGTTTCTTGCATATCTTCATTCTCTGCACTTTGTGTGATGTATGTACCAGACCCAGACAACAGGTTTGTTTATTTTTGAAGAATTAAGTCACCCACGCAAACGTCTAGGTCTTGCAATTTGTTCTCAGATTACATATACTATTACAGCTTCAGGACACTTCAGATACTGAGTCTGTCCTAACTGGCACAATCCCTTAACAACCTAAATCACTGTGTGTGTGTGTGTGTATATATAGGGAGAACATCTGGGCCACAAATAGCACAAAATTTTCTGTTTCTATCTTTCAGAGTGTTCAAATACAGAACAGGAGAAAAACCTGTTAGAGTGTGACGGAGTTAACCCATGTCAAAAGTATGAGCGTTGCCTGTTGAGGGCTCAACAGCATGGCAGAATAGAACCGACAGTGTAACATGCAAGGTTCAAAAAATGTATTACTGTAGTAATGGAAGTGGTAGAAAAATGTATTTGCATTTCATGTGCAGTGATGGAACAATCAATGCATTTGAAGAAGATCCAGCTATTTTCACTGTCAAAAAAGGACTGTATTGTAGGTTAGGGTTGTTACAGAACTTACTCTTGGTCCTGGTGGTCCAGGTGGTCCCTGGAAAATGGGAGAAACCAGATATTAGGTGCTTCACATGTTTATATAATGCAATCACAATGGAAAAATACAGGTGTGGTTTTTTTATGCACTTACAGGTGGCCCTGGCTGGCCCTGAGGTCCCTGAGGCCCCTAGAATAAATGGAGAGAAAATGCAACAGTTATAGATGAACATCTCTGCTTTTCTATTTATGTATTTTTTAAAACACAAAATGTCACAATGCATACAATAAAGAAAATGTGATACCGGTTTTGGTAAAGCTGTACATTATTAGTTACTATTGTTAAAAGTACCATACTCTGTTAATGTGCAAATATTCCTGTTAGAATTACAGGCTTGTCTGGTTACTCGTTTATCCAATTACTTTTGATATTAAGGGAACATTAGAAGTATAAAAGTATTAATATATAACGTGCTATACATTGTGCCAGCATTATATGCATGTTGTCAATACAAGTACTACAAGGGATGAATGATCATAAAAGCATTGTAAATAATGGTATGGGTAGTTATAAAAAAACTAACTGATCTGCTTTACTCCATGAGTATCTGCTAGGCATTTATTAGCTCCATTTATTAGCAGTGTCAATTTTCAGCCAGAACATGTTATGTTCATCTTTGAACAGTGACACCACAGGCTTCCTTCATATTCAAGAAGTTATGCCCATATTTCCTCATCATAAGTGGCATCATTTTAGTGTGTAGGATGATGCAGTGGGGAGAAGAGGAGGGGAAGGAACAGCTGCTTTTCCCTAGCTTATAGTGCCTACAATGCACGTAGTCTTAAGTCCAAGTTTTAGGCTTGCCTTGGGGTTGGACAGGGGCCCTCCCTAAAACAATAACTCCATCTGAATTATCCTTTCTTTGAGCAACTACTCACATTAAGATGGAATGATTATGAGTATTCATGAATATACAGTGATACTTGTGTTTCTGTTAGATTCCCTTCTTCAGTTTCTATATACTCAAAGCCTCTAGGAGCTGCTGTAACATAAACAATAGCAAGAACAATGACAAGGAAAAGAATAGGTGGCAGTGCCTTAATACGAGCAAAAGACAAGCAGAAGGAATGAAAGGCATAGGCCAGACTTGTGCCATTTATTAGTAAAACCTTTTAATATAACTGGGTTCATTTAAGCAAAACGCTCTTTAGCCAGTGCTGCTCGTACCCATTATTTGAACACAATAAGCTGTTCCAGTAAAAGCCCTCTTACACCAGTATGGTCACGCTAGTACTAAGTCTCTGCCAAAACAGAAATAATCTTATCTGACATGGTCATGCTGACAAATATTGCAAAACTGATCTAGTCAAAGAGGTATTAAGTTGTAAATCACTTAATATAGTAATAAGAAGTATTC